AAGCACCCAGCCCTCAGCCGCCCCCAAGCATGCACTCATGCAACAGGAGGGCTGCCTGTCACACCCACTGCCCAGTTTCTCCCTCCTACTCCCCTCCCACCTCCTCTGACTTCATACACTCTATTGCTTGGGCCCTTTTACTCCAACCCCTGATTTCTCTTAAGATCTTGATCTGCTTCCTGTTAGCCCCTCTACCGCTGAGTGCTTTGAGCCCTAGAGTCCAATGTCTCATACCCATAGTCTGATTATTTTCCTTCTTATGACCTGGTAAGATTTTCCTCTACTTGATTTCTTCAAGATCCTGCTTGATTCATTTTATCTCAGGTTGAATTTCTGAGCTTCTTGGCCCCCACTGGGTGCTGTCTGGTCCATGTTCCAGCAGTGACCCCAGGATTCCTGTGGATGGCCTGGAGGAAGGATGGAGGCTGTGGCATGCAGCCAAGAGCCACAGGCAGCCATGCAGGGATGTCAAGGAGAGGAGGGATGGCTGGTTCTGGGGTCCTGAGGCCGAACTCACCCCGAGCCCCCGGCCCCACTGATCCTTTGGTTCAGCCTGGACCTAGACTGGAGAGATGAATATTCCTGCCACCTCTGGGAGGCTTCCAAGATCAGGCCTTAGGCCACATGGGGGAAGTGAGGTTTAGGGAGACCCCAGGTCAGACTCTCACATTATGGCGCAAGTGACCTGGCAGTCGAGGCATGACGAAGACCAGGCTGACAGGAGGGCAAACCCCTTGCCCCTTCCCATCCCTTTCCACCAGCCACAGGGCCACAGGCTGGACCTCCCTGCTTGAGGGGGTAGGGGGGACCAGTGTTTATGCAACTGTGGGGAGGCCACAGCCTGGCTGGCAGTGCCACCCACCCAGCATGATTCAGCAGAGTCCGCCAGCATATACACTCAGACATGTGCGCACACACACGGGGAAACACACAGGCACAGGTATACACACACGGACACTCATACCCTCACAGCACACTCACAGGCACAAATACACAGGCACACTGGTGGACATATGCACACACAAACACACAGGCACACATCTTCCACCCAGCCGAAGCAGTGGGAGGATGCCAAGCAAGGAGAACCTCACTCCTGCAGCTGAGCCTACTACCTAGGCCCCTCCACCCATTTTCTCTGACACTCCACACACAGCCAGCGACCCGAGCCCAAAAACAACAGCCCTCACATGGTCAGCACAGCCACATGTAATGGGCAAAAGGCCCCAGAGTGGCAAGTGGCCATGGCTGGGACGGAAATGCATTCGACGTGGAGTTGAGCCCCAAAAAGTGGGACCAAACGTTCCAGTGAGAGTTCATCAGATAGAACAGCCTGGCTTGGCCCCAACTGGCCACCCCGCCTGTCCTCCACACAGGAGGACATGCCAGTGGGGACCACAGAGTATCTCTGGGGTTTACATAGGATGCACCCTTCCACTGCCAAGCCAAGACGAGGGGAGTGGTAGCCCCCAGAAACTAGGGGAGCCTGCAAGAAGGAGGGCATGTTTCTTGGAAACCAGAGAAGGGAGGCACCCTTGACAGACTGGGACATGTACTCCCCGGGATCTGGTACATATGTGAAGTTGGAGGCAGGGCCACTTCTTGTCTATTGATGACAGAGGAGAGGCACAGCACAGGACTTCAGCCCAGGGGGAGCAGCCTCTGCAAGTAAATGTTGGGACCACTTAGTTCCGTGTAGCCCTGGCGACTTTTGAAGGGGACCTCAACCATTACCTGGCTTGGTGTCCAGGAGCGAGGAGGCTGGGGCAGGCAGGAGCTGGGGGCTGCCCGGAAGGGTGTCAGCCATTCAGATGGCTTCCTGCCCTGACTGGGGCCCCAGGGAGGCCCTGCTTTCTAGCAGTTGGCCAGGGAGGCTAACCAGAGGCCAGCAAGGTCACACACGCACATGAAGACACCCCCACTAGCAGAGGCCACCACAAGTGAGGCCACAGGTGTCTCCACCTGCTGCCCCGCCATACAGCCTTACTGCGCCATGAAAGGGCAGACTACAGTCCCTCACACCCCCAGCCCCAACCTGACCTGGAGCTGGAGTAGACTGTGTTCAGATAAGGAAAGGAGCCAGAAAGCCTCAAAATCTGCCTGAGATGTTGATGAAGGTGTTTTCAAAAATGACCTAGAATCCAACTACTTCTCCCCAGCTCCACCGGGCCAAGGGTGCATCTGCGGCTCCCTGGGACCCTGTAACTGATCTCGCAGCTTCTGTTTGTGCCCCCCAGTCTATTCCCCACACAGCAGCCAGAGAAATGCTAATAAAAACTTCACGTCTCCCAGAGCACACACCAAAGCGCTTTGCACGGCCCATGGGCCACCCATCTGCTCTCTGATGCAGGACCTGCCACTCCTCATGGTGCTCTCTGCTCCCGTCTCAGGGCCTTCGTGTGCCCTGCTGCAATGTTGTCCCTCCGCTGCGTGCACAGCTCTCTGGAGCAGATGCGGAAGTGCCCCACGTGCATGTTGCAACCTACCTCTGGGCCCTGCCCCAGACAAAGATGGGAGCTAGTGAATGAATAATATGGTTTCCTCATCCCCTTGTGAGGCAACCTCACCATCTCCCGTAGCTCCACGGTGGGGCCGAGCCCCCCTTGCCCACAGTACCATTTGCTCCCAGGCTTCCTTTCACAGCTGCTCTGCCAGCTTGCTGAGGTCACCTTCCAGGACACTCCTTGCATTCAGGTCCTCATCTCAGCTCTGCTTCTGGGGAAGCCCAGCCTCAGACACTCCCTCTCTCCCATTTTTTGTTTTGCTTCTGCTTAACAACAAATTCCCATTCCCTCTCTCCCAAGTACCTCCCCAGAAACCACCGTTCTACTTTCTGTCTGAATTTGATGACCCTCAGTACCTCATTTAAATGGAATCATTAAGTATTGTCCTGTGTCTGGCTTATTTTACTTGGCATAATATCCTCCAAGTTCACCCATGTGTGGCAGGTGTCAGAATGTCCTTCCTTTTCAAGGCTGAATACTACTCCATATGTATATACCACATTTGCTTATCTATTCATCTGTTAATGGAGACTTGGATTGCTTCCACCTTTTGGCTATTGTGAATAACACCTCTGTGAACATGGGTGCACAAAAATCTCTTCATGTCCCTGCTTTCAGTTATATTGGGTATGTACTTAGAAGTGGAATTGCTAGATCACATGGTAGTTATGTTTTTGATTTTTTGAGTGCCCTCCATACTGTTTTGCACAGAACTGTACTGTTTTATATTCCCACCAACAGTGCCCAAGGATTCCAATTTCTCTACATTCTCACCAGCATGTATTTTTGGTTTGCATTTTCCTAACTAATGATGTTTAACATCTTCTCACTTGCTTATTGGCTATTTGTATGTCTTCTTTGCAGAAATACCCTTTTCCTGTTTGCAGTCCTTTGTTCTCGAATTGGGTTATTTTGTTGTTGTTGACTTGTAGGCACTCTATATATTCTGGATACTATCTTCTCTCCTTTAAATCTTTGTCCAACTATTACGTTCTCAGGAAACCACTAACCCCACGATTTAACATGTCAGTGCCTCCCCTCTTACACACACACATACACTGCACAGCCCCTTCTCCACTTCAGGTCCCCCCTCAGCCTTTATCACTCGTTGCCACACCTGAAGGCTCAGTGACTCGCCAGGTTTGTGTGCACTCCATGAGGGCAGTAGTTTGACTGCTTTCTCCACTGCTGTGTTCCCAGGCCTTGAGCAGAGCCTGGTACACAGTAGGTGCTCAATAAACTCTGAGACTGAAAGGAAGCTGAAATGGAGTCCCGCAAACACACTCACACCCGCTCACATCTACTCTCTCACGTACACCGCTGACACACTTTATGCACATGTTAGCACACATACACTCAATCCTAACATGCTCACGTGCAGGCTCTCCACACCATGCTAACACCCTCGGGCAGCCTGTTCCATGCACACCTTCAGAGCTGCTGTCACACACACACACACACACACACCTCAGGAACAGACACACTCATGCATGTGAGGTCATGGAAATACACCCTGATATCCTGGGTCCTACTGGCCCTATGAGACCCACCACTGACTCTGACTTTGATCCACCCCATAGCCCCTATCCCTAGACTCCCCAGGCTCTCTGTAGGGCTTTGCTCTTTCTCCCCATCAAACCCATGAGAACTGCTTCCTCCAGGAAGCCTCTCTTCACTCCCTCCGCTGAGCTCCAAGGTAAGGAAGGGGCCCTGGCCCCAGAGCAGGGTGTGGGCAGTGGGGCAGGAGTTTGCCAGAGGCATGGTATCTCCTCCTGTTGTAGGGATTGCACATTTCTCATCTGAAGCCCAGGGCTGAGGAACACACTGTTGGACCTAGACGCTGCCCCAGTATGGCCTCTACCTCTGGACTACAGCCCCACCACAGTCAGAGGGCCTCAGCTTCCCCATCTGAGTCAGGCAAGAGTCTCAGCCTCTTCAGCTCTGACACCCTGGGGACAAAGTTAGCTCTTGCCCTGCTCCCATTCCCAGCATGATCTAGGCAAGGCCATTCTCTGCTCTGGGCCTCAGTTTCCCCAACTGTGACATGCATGGCTCTGGGCCAGTGTCCTGTGATTCCCTGATTGCTGAGGATGGCTTGAAAGAGCTCAGAGATTGCTCTCAGATTCCCAGGGGCACTCCTGTAGTAGGGGCTGCAGCACAACTGCTACCTGCAGAAGAGGAACAGGGAAGCCAAGAGCAAGGGGGGCCTGCGAGGCCCCCTGCAGCCCAGCCCGCCTCCTGCCCAGTGTCCCAGGGGGCAGACTCAGAGGGTCTAGTGCACCAGATGGGGCAGTTTTGATAGAATGAGCAAGGAGGGAAGATTTCATAATGATTCCACTCATTTTTTTCCAGGGCTTACTATGTGTGGCCCATGGATTTTTCAGATTAATCAAAGGGCCACAGAGAGGAAGAAAGGAAGCAGTGAGAAGGGAGGAGGCAGGGAGGGAAAGAGGGAAGAAGCGAGGTAGGGAGGAGGGCAGGAGAGAATAAAGAACCAAAGAAGGAAAGAAACCGTTTATTTCTGAGGCCCACGGGGTGTCGGGGTGGGGACAGAGGGGCCCAGGTCAGTGCGGCCCGAGGCCTGATCGAAGCAGAGGTGGTGGCCGGGCAGCATGGTCGCCAGGGCTGCACAGAGGGAGCCTGCACAGGACCCTCAGCGCACTGCCCACCTTCCCACTGCTCCGGGCCATGGCATCGGGGTGGGGAAGGAGCAAGTCAGGCAGTCCCCAGCGTGGCCTCCATGGTCTCCCTGAGGGCAAAGGCAGTCACAGGTTAGAGCAGAGGGGGTGGAGCAAGGTAGCCTGATGTCACCGAGAACTGGAGTTGGTGGGGACAGGGAGGTGGCAATGAGGGCTTTGATGGAAGAGGCATGAGGGGGACAACAGGGCTGAGGTCAGCAGAGGTGGCAAATGTGGCAGCGGGTCTGGGAGGGAGTAGGGGGGTCTCACCCAGGGTGGGAGGTTCAGCTGGCCATGATGTGCTTCACGAATGCTGGAAAGAAGGGGAGGGCACGTGGCAGGGTAAAGCACTGGGTGGGAGCCTAGGGTTCCAGGGCACATCACAAGCACCCCTGCCCTGCTGAGCCCACCTTCGTAGTTGATGCAGCCGTTGGAGTCCTCTTGCCCGGCCATCAGTTTCTCCACCTCGTCTTCCGTTAGCCTCTCACCTGGCAGGGTGGGAGGCTGGGTCAGCACCTCAGAGGTGTGGGAGGTTCCCCTGTGCCTCTCTGCCTAGTCCCGCACTTTTATTGGCAAAGCCAGCATTGCCACAGGGCCTTAGCCATCACCCGCACTTCTCAGACCAGGAGAATCAGTGACAAGTCAAAAAGAGAGGGGTCTGGGGTACAGGCCTGGTGCCCCCTCTGAGTCTAGAATCTGTCCATAATAGTGCCGTCTCAGGGTTCAAGTCACCAGTGCACACTGCCCTCTTTTCAATAGGCTGGTGGGCAACCCCTCCAGCCAGAGGAGGCCAGGCTCCCCACCCCCTGGAGGCAGTCTCTTGGGGCAGCCCTTTGAGGTCAGGGCCCATGGAGCTGGGAACCTTGGTAGGTGGTTGTGGAGGAGAACAGGAGACACAGCCACTGTTCCCCAGACAAGCCTGGCCCTTGCTTGCCTCTGTGCTGTGTGTGCTGTGCTGGACCCCCAGTGGACTGCTTTCCCTCCCCTCTCCTGCCCCCCAGCCAGAGACACAAACACACACACACACACACACACAACCCGAGACCAGCACAGGGCTGAGCAAAGTAGGCTCCCAATAAACCTTTGCGGTAGAAAAGGTCCCTTTAAGAAAAGGTGCCCCTCCTGGCCAGGCACCTGATAGTGGGGGTCATGATGTCCAAGAGGCAGGCATGGACCTACTCAGCCACCTGGAATTTGACCTTGAGAAAAGAACCACCAGGACTGAGTGGGTCCTCCAGTGCCACCCTGCCTCATCCTGTCCCCAGAGCTATTCTGTCCTCCTTCAGTTCTGGGAGCTGCACCAGGACACTATCTTTAGTAGTCCCCACCTAAATTTCTAAATTTCCTACATTTTTCTTGCTTGCCATAGAGGCACCTTGACTATGTCATTCTGTTTCACAGATGAGACACAGGCCCATGGTGGCCAAGTGGTTTCTCCCAGGATGCCCTCCAAGGAGTAGAGAGAGGGGAGGAGGGAGAGGAGATGGGCAAGGGGGAGGAGGTGTGGAGAGAAGGAACAGGCAGGGAGGAGGGGAGGACGCGGCCCTCACCCAGCGTGGCCAACACGTGGCGGAGCTCTGCACCCATGACAGTGCCATTGCCCTCTTTGTCGAAGACCCGAAGCCCCTCCACAAAGTCCTCATAGGTGCCTGTGTCCTTGTTCTTGGCAATGTGCTGGAGCATGGGCAGGAACGTGTCAAAGTCCATCATCTTGGTGTTAAGCTCTGTGGACAGATGGCTCTGAGTCCCAGCCTCTGAGAGGTAGGATGGGCACACCCTTTGCCTGTGCCTTAAAATGAGGAACTATTTCCCCCACACAGTTGCCAAAGCTTGCTGCACAACTTTGCCATTTACAAAGCACCCCACCATCACAAGGCACTTCACAGTCAATCAAAAACTGCATGGTTTACATAGCCCTTTGCTGTCTACAAGGTGAGTTTGCTGAAGTGGCCCCACAGTGGAGACTCTGTCCTCCTTTTGGGACACAGTCCTTGCTAGTGTCATTTTCTTATAGAGCCCACCCTCCCCACAACCTGTGATTAGCCAGGAGCAGCTGGGCCAATCAGAGACTTTCTCTGGGACTTTTGAACCTGTGGAAAGGCATTGGGTTTCATCCTCCTTGTTGCAAAGTGGGCAACCCTGCCTGGCCAAGGTGGTAAGGGAAGCTGGCCTCAATCCCAGAGAGGGCTATGGAGGCCAAGGCTGGGTGGCCCCTGGCCTGTCCTCATGCTAGCCACAGAAGCTAGTTTGCACTGTCTCAGTTCCCTATGGCCACGAGGCTCCGTGAATCAGTGTGGGTCCAGGTGGCACAGCAGACCATCACTGCCTGTCAGCATCATCTGGGACCGGCCTCGGTGTCTTCATCCAGACAGAGCAAGGATGTCAGGAGGGTGCACAGCACAGAGGCTGTGTGTTGTTCTTCCACAGATGGCAGCCCACCCTGGCAGTCTCCCTGGGGAGAGCTCAGGCCAGGTGTACCAACCTTCCTGCCTTGGCCTCCCTAGGACACGGAGCACCTCAGCCTGGGTGGGGTTCTGGCCCAGAGCCCGCAGGACATCCCCACACTGCCCGTACGTGATCTTCATCTCACACTTGGGCGTGCGATCATACAGCATGAAGGTTTCCTTGAACTCTGCCGGGAGAGGGCACGAGCTGTGGACACTCCCAGAGTCAGCCCCACCACTCACCCCCACTGTGGGCAGCACTCAAACTGGGGACCCTAGGCCCAACCTTGCAGCCCAAGGGCTCAAGACCCCCACTCACCTTCAATCTGCTGTGGTGTAAACTCGATCTGCAAGGAGATCCCAAAGATTTTGAGTGCCTGGCTCAGGCCTGCTCCTGGTCACTCCATGGCCAGCCCAAGCCTCAGCCCCTCTTCTGCTCCAACCTGTCCCCATTCCAGCAGCTCAGCTGCTGCCACTCCCCACCTGTCCAACCTGAGGGTCTTGGGTCTGTGTGGACCAGACCCAGACCCTGGTACCTAGTGGGCCACACCTGGGGAAGTGGTGAGGAGGGGAGGCCTGGTGTCCTGAGTCCCCAGCCCAGCGTTGACCTTACCTGATGACCCTGGTCCCAGACAGATGTGCCTGAAACCACAAGATCTGACCAGACTGTCTTTGCCACCCCCACCAGGCCTGGGGCCCAGGGGGCAGGACTGTCCACATGAGTAAGATGGGAGGCCTTAGGTCACCACTGCAGGGGGCAGGGGGTGACAGGAGGAATAAGGGCAAGGGGCAGACCAGAGGGCTTCTGTCCACATGAGAGCAGAGCCACAAGACGGTATGTGTGTGTGTGTGCATATATGTGTGTTCACACTCATATATGTCTGCCTGTGTTCACAGGTGTCTGTCCCTCACAGACCTCTGTGGTTGGACATTGTCCCTCACATGGCCCCACCTAGCAACCTGGGTCTTATACATCCCCATCCATAAGCCCAGGGCAGCCCCCGTCCCCTGCCGCAGCATGGCATGGGGCCAGGGTGGGGCTGTTGGGTATTTGCTGAGGCCACATCAGACCTACCTGAGGTCAGGCCACCTCCTAGGACCCAGTTTCCCCCTCCTCACCCCATTCCAGGTTTATTTTTATCACTGCACTCACTCATCCCAAGGTCAAGGTCACGCAAGGGAAAGGAGCTTGGAGGAGGGCACATGACTGGCAGCTCTCCCACTGCTGCTCCCTGGGGCCCCACTGGCTCAGAGTGCACGCTGCCGCTGCAGGGGGATAGCCCAGCCCTGCCTCCCTGCCGGGCTGTCCCTCCTGGCTCTCTGGCTTAACCCCGTGTGGGGAAGAGCAAGGGGTTGTCCCGGGCCCCAAGAGCTCTCTCTCTCCACCAGGGATCTGCTGAGATCAGGTTCCCTGGGCTCCTGGCAATGCCTCCTGCCCTTCACTGGCCAGCCCATGGGGGAGAGGAAGGGGAACACATGAGGGCTCTCACTTTCCCTCCCCTCAGAGGGGACCCTGTGCCAACCTCGTCTGATGAGACTGGACAGTGCCACCCAAGCCTGGGGTGCTTGGACTGGACCCTCACTAGGGGACCTGTAGGACGCAAGCCTGGGCCCAAGGGGGCTCAGGGTTCAGGGCTCCAGCTCCAGGGAGCACTTGCTGGGAGTAGTTCCCAACAGCCCGTGAGGAGGGCTTAGTGTCACATTTCACAGCTGAGGAAACCAAGCCTCAGAGCAGCGAGGGGGTAAGGCAGAGCTGGGATCTGATTGTGTCTTGAGGGACAAAGCAGCTGCCTCCAGGAAGGGCTCCCGAACAGGGGGTGGATCTGGGCAGGTGGGCTGCAGGTCTTCCTGGGCACATGAGGACCATGAGGGGCTGGGAGGGCTCCCCGGGGCCCCTCTGCCGGCAACCAGGGCAGCAGTGGCCAGCGGCCAGCCAATAACAGGGCACAGGCAGGCCCCACGGTGCGCTCTGATAGGCGGATGCCACAGGCGGGAGTCATGGCTCATCCTCCAAGCTTAGACTCTGAGAAAGACTTCCTAGCTGGGGAAGGGCTCCTGGGGCCACTGGCCACAGCTCCGAGACCAACTTTCCACCTGACCTAGCCAGCGTGTGCCTGAACTTCTCCACCTGAAAGCTGAGGCCCTACCAGCTCTGGGGCTCAGGCACCCAGACAGGGATGAATGTGACCCAGCCTGGGCAGCGGCCTTGCTTCCCTTTCTTCCATACCCTGTCCTCCCTGGTGGACTGGGTGTGGACTTGAGACCCACCACCAGGCAAGGAAGATCCTTGCCTGGCTGCAGGAATTGGGGGACAGGCAGCCCCAGAGTACCCCAAGGATGTGAGGTCCAGGCCGAAGGGCAAAGAAGAGTCAGTTTTCAAAACCACCAAAAAGACATTCCCTTCAGCAGCACCTGGGGAGTTCTGCCTGCTGTCTGACCACCATCCCTCCTGCTGCCTGAAGCCTGAAGCCCCAGGGCTCGTCTGACCTCTGCACAGAATTTTCCAGCTCAGTGTGCTCCCTTTCTGGAGCCTGGCCTCCCACTGGGCAGGTCCACTCGGATCCACTTACCTGCCTTGTCTTCCTGCCAAAACCCAGCTCCCACACCCACCTTGATCTTGGAGGCATCAAACGCAACTTCCTTGGGGCGCTCAGGCTCGGGGGCTGGCGCAGGAGCAGGTGCTGGAGCTGCCTTGGGGGCTGCCTTGGCATCATCCTTCTTGGGGTCTGGTTTTTTGGGGGCCATGGGGGCTAGAAGCACAGAGAGGAAGTTGGAGAAAAGGGAGCAGAGAGCAGCGTAGGTGAGACTCCTGACCCTGGCCTTTATCCTGCCTGGACACCTCCTGACCCCAGCCCCACCCCTGCAGTACACAATAGGGACAGGGCCATAAAAGGATATTGGCTAGGCTCAGGGGCTATTTTGGGGCCTGGGGAGGGCATTGTTCAGGCTCAGGAATGGGTGGGGGAGGGGGAGGGCCCTCCATTCCTCCCAATCACCTGCTGGGAAGAAGGAGGGGAAGGCGAGGACAGCCACTGCTCACACACACTGTCACCCAAAAATGCACATGTACCTACACATAGGGGCCCCACTGCCCAGCAGCAGGTCAGCAAACTGAACAGCTACAGAAGATTGGGCCGAGTGTGCTATGTGATATTTCAGGGACAAAAAAATTGTGATTACCTAAGGGCACCCCTTAACTTCAATTTCCCATCTGTGCATCAACTTCTCCTGTGTCTGTGTCTGTGTGCCTGTGGGGAGAGGAGAGGTCTGTGCAGGTCTGGGCATTGTCTGTGTGTCCCTCCGTACAGGGCAGTCTGTGTGTGTGTGTGCTATGTCTGTGTCTGTGTGAGGGAGGCCCCTGCCTGGCTCTGTGTGTTGGCTCTGTGGGTCTAAGTCTGGGTGTTTATATGTGTCTGTCTGTGAGCGTCTGGCCACGGCTCACAGGCAGCTGCAGCCCCAGCCCTGTGTCACAGGGTCTCCAGGAACACCCTGGGTGGCAGTAGAAAGTGTGCCACTCCCTGAGGGCAGTCACGCAGCCAGTCCAACAGCCGACAGCCTCCACAGCCTCCTACAACAGCACCTGCCTGCCCCCAAGGCCAGTTTGCCAATCTCACCCTTTCACTTCCTACTGCCCCTTTCCAACAGCCCCATGGTGACCCACTTTCCCCACACACGTCAGGGCCTGCTTCCCGCCAGACCCCTGCACACACTGTGTCTGTGTGTCTTTGTGGAGAGGAGAGGTCTGCACCGGTCTGGGCATTGTCTGGGTGTCCTTCCATGCAGGGGCATCTGTGTCTGTGTGAGGGAGGCCCCTGCCTGGCTCTGTGTGCTGCCCTGCGTGGAGCCCAGCCTCCCCCTGGGTAGGTCCATGCTGAGATCTGCCCAGCGGCCCTCACCGCTCCTGTCTGGCACATTCCAGGCCCCACTACCCCTCTCCCAGGAAGCTGTCTTGCCTGCTGTCCTACTGCCCCATGCTGCCCTCTGCCGACCCTTCTGGTGCAGGTCCTGGAAGGGTCCAAATCTCTGAGGGACCCCAGGGGTCTGGGCAAAGTTTACCCTCTGGTGCCCAGCTTGGTATGCCCACCTGGAGTGCCCGGCCCATAGCAGATGGCAGTGACAGAGCCCAGCCTGGCTGGGCCACCATCTGGGGAGGTGGGGGGAGGTGGGAAGGCTGAGGTGGCATGAGCACCTCATGCCAGGCACAGAATCTGACATCTTGCCACCATATTGGGCTCTCTTTCTCGCCAGTGTCTGTGCTGAAGGGTGGGAAAGAGGTGTTCCTTGTTATTTTTAAGTGTCTGGCGCCTTTGATAGAAACTTCAAAGGCAGTACCCCTCCCCAGGCCCCCATGGGACTTCCCGGGTGTGGAGGGGAGCTGGGCCCAGCCGGGGGTACCAAGTCAGTGGGGCTTCTCCCTGGGGTGCCCACCCCCATCCTCCCGCTCAGCCCAGCTACCTCTTGTCCTGTCCCTCAGCCTCATGGTGAGGGGACAGCAGGCAAGGGTTGGGGCCGGGCCCTCTTCTAGCTGGAACACAGAACACTCCCCCCCTCATCTGGAGGGCAGAGCACCCCACATCTGGAAATCTAGCATCCGGTGGCAGGGGGGGGGCAAGTTTTTCACTTTTCTTCCAGATGTTTGGCAAGAGTATTGAGAAAGAAAGGGGGAGGGGGAGGGTCCACAGAGATGAGCCAGAAATGCCACAGGAGAAGACAGCCAGAGGGGGACACACAGGGAGAGGCCTCAGGCGGCCCCACTGCTCTCTGGACAACTGACTCTGGATGTCCTGGGGGGACCACCCACAGGCACAGCCAGAGAGACACTACCCAGTCTCCTCTCATTCATCAGGGGGAAACCAAGGCCCAGCACAGAGGACATATGCAGGGTTACCCCGACTCCCAGCCTCGTTTCTTTCATCCACATGCATTAGCAGCTTGAACCAGGGTAGGTGGGGGACATGGGCCTCCAGAGCCTCCGTTTCTAGGTCTGTGATATGTGGTGGGTGGGCTCGGGCAGCCAGCCAGGTCTACACAGTGCCACCTTCCTTTGCCTGGTACAGGAGGATCTGGAGTGGTGTCTTGGTCCCCTTCCTTCGTGTACAGTTCAGATGTGGTCCTGCAGTAGGGACAGAGAGCACAGAGCCATCCTTTACTTCCTCCCCGGGTCTGAGATAGAGGCTGGGGCTGGGACTGGGCCTTTGACTGTCTGAGCTCTGGCTTCTGGGAGCAACAGTGCCCCAGAGCTCACCCCACAGGACCCCTGTCAACCTATAACTAATGTCCGTTTACCAGCAGGAGCCCTGCAGGGAGCAGCAGGAGCAGTCCCAGGGCCAGCCCCCTGCCTGCCAGCAGTATAGGCCTTTGAGCTGGAGACAAGGCCGGGTGGGTAGGCGGGCAAGCAGAGCAGGAGGGGAGGAGGCATTGTGAGAGGGAGGGGTGGGCAGCAGGCAACAAAGACAAGCCACACCAAGGCTCAGCACTCATCTCTCTCCCAGGTCCTAGACTGAGCTTGGTGCCTTTCAGGCAAGATCCTGGCATGGCCTGGGGGCCTAGAGAGCCTGGAGGCATGGGCGGGGCCTGGATCCTATCCCCTTGTTTCCCCCAGCTCCAGCATCTGAGAGGTGGCCACACACTGATGCGGACTCACACTTGCTACGTCCCACAGCACTCCCTACCTCCTTTCCTGCCCCACCCCCCAGACAAGGGGAATGCTGGGGAAGAGGTGGGTGCTGACTTCTGAGGGGTGTGTGGATAAAGGCAGGACACCCCTGGCCATACCAGCCTACTCCTAGGTTACTTCAAGCCCCTGGCTTTGCACAGGCTGTTTCCTCCCTCTGGAATTCTTAAATGGGACCTCGACCCTGGTTGACCCATTGTCACCACCTGGTCTCAGTGAGACATCACCTCCTCTGAGAAGCCTCAGACTACCCTGGACCTTCTCCCTCTGCCAGGCTCTTGCTCTGACTCTCCATCCCTGCATACCTTAAAATGAGCTTGCTTCTTTGCTTTCTTGTTTTTAACACGTATCCCCCAATTCATAAGTGTCAGCTGGCATGGCAGGAATTTTTGTTCTTCCAGAGCTATATATACCCAGAGTCCAGAAAGAGCCTGGTACACACGATACACTCAATAAATGTTAGGCGAGAAAACTGTTGCATTCCTATACACTAACGATGAACTAGCAGAAACAGAAATCAGGAAAACAGTTCCATTCACAATTACATCAAAAAGAATAAAATACCTAGGAATAAACCTAACCAAGGAAGTGAAAGACCTAGACCCTGAAAACTACAACACACTCTTGAGAGAAATTAAAGAGGACACTAATAAATGGAAATACATCCCATGCTCTTGGGTAGGAAGAATTAATATTGTCAAAATGGCCATCCTGCCTAAAGCAATCTACAGATTCAATGCAATCCCTATCAAAATACTGACAGCATTCTTCAACAAACTGGAACAAATAGTTCTAAAATTCATATGGAACCACAAAAGACTGAATAGCCAAAGCAGTCCTGAGAAGGAAGTATAAACCTGGGGGGATTATGCTCCCCAACTTCAAATTCTACTACAAGGCCACAGTAGTCAAGACAATTTGGTACTGGCACAAGAACAGAACCACAGACCAGTGGAACAGAATAGAGAGACCAGATATAAACCCACACATATATGGCCAATTAATATATGATAAAGGAGCCATGGACATACAATGGGAAAATGACAGCCTCTTTAACAGCTGGTGTTGGAAAAACTGGACAGCTACATGTAAGAGAATGAAACTGGATTATTGTCTAACCCCATACACAAAAGTTAACTCGAAATGGATCAAAGACCTGAATATAAGTCATGAAACCATAAAACTCTTAGAAGAAACATAGGCAAAACTCTCTTGAATATAAACATGAGCAACTTTTTCATGAACATATCTCCCTGGGCAAGGGAAAACAAAAGAAAAAATGAACAAGTGGGACTGTATCAATCTAAAAAGCTTTTGTACAGCAAAGGACACCATCAGTAGAACAAAAAGACATCCTACAGTGTGGGAAAATATATTCATAAATGACATATCTGATCAGAGGTTGACATATAAAATATATAAAGTGCTTACATGCCTCAACAACCAAAAAGCAAATAAGCCAATCAAAAATAGGCAGAGGAGCTGAACATACACTTCTCCAAAGAAGTAATTTGGATGGCCAACAGGCACATGAAAATATGCTCCACATCACTAATTATCAGGGAAATGCAAATTAAAACCACAATGAGATATCACCTCACACCAGTTAGGACGGCCAACACAGAAAAGAGTAGGAACAACAAATGCTGGCGAGGATGCGGAGAAAGGGGAACCCTCCTACACTGCTGGTGGGAATGTAAATCAGTTCAACCATTGTGGAAAGCAGTATGGAGGTTCCTCAAAAAACTAAAAATAGAAATACTATTTGACCCACAAATTCCACTCCTAGGAATTTACCCTAAGAAAACAGGATTACAGATTCAAAAAGACATATGCACCTCTACATTTATCACAGCACTATTTACAATAGCCAAGAAATGGAAGCAACCTAAGTGTCCATCAGTAGATGAATGGATAAAGAAGATGTGGTACATATACACAATGGAATATTATTCAGCCATAAGAAAACAAATCCTACCATTTGCCAACAACATGGACAGAGCTAGAGGGTATTATGCTCAGTGAAATAAGCCAGGTGGAGAAAGACAAGTATCAAATGATTTCACTCATCTGTGGAGTATAACAATAAAGCAAAACTGAAGGAACAAACAGCAGCAGACTCACAGAACCCAAGAATGGACTAACAGTTACCAAAGGGAAAAGGACTGGTGAGGGTGGGTGGGAAGAGAGGGATAAGGGGATTAACGGGCATTATGATTAGCACACATAATGTAGGGGGGCCGCACGGGGAAGGCAGTACAGCACAGAGAAGACAAGTGGTGACTCTATAGCATCTTCCTATGATGATGGACAGTGACTGTAATGGGGTATGTGGTAGGTACTTGATAATAGGGGGAATGTAGTATCCATAATGTTGCTCATGTGAAACCTGAGCATAAGATTGTATAGCAATGATAGCTTAGTTAAAAAATAAATAAATAAGTGTTAGACAGCAAATATCCAAACACCTCATTTGCCACCTTTCACAGTGGGACTGGGACTCTTGCAAACTCCATCAGTGGAGTGGGGTGAAGGGTGATTGGGGAGTGGGGGTGGGTTGCTGACTGACTGACAAGAATTCTGGTGACTGCAGGTGGAACCCTGGGACAGCAATGCAGCCTGCCACTGCCCCTAAGCCCACCTGCTGCCACCTCAACTCAGGCCTGCTTCCCATCCAGGCCCATGCATTGGCCAAGACTCCTCTCAACAGCCTGGAGAGAGAGGGTGACCCCATGGGACAGGCTGTGACTCGACCATGATGACTAGCCAGCAGGTGGCGCAGAAGGGACAGGAAGCAGCCTTAGACTCCTGAACCCAAACTCCAGGGGGCCAAGCCCAGACCCCAGACTCCAGACCTGGAACCTAGAACCCCAACCCAGACCCCAGACGCAGACTCAGGATCTGAACCCCAAACTTAGAACCTGGAACCCAGTGCCCAGGAGCAGACCCCACTCTGGGGACACAGACTCCAAAACCCAAGAGGCCAAAATCAGACCTTAGTTCTAGACCCTGATTTTAGACCCCAGGACCCAGGACTCTAGACCCAGAGTCTAGGCCTGTGAACCCAAACGTGTACCCCAGACCCAGGCCCCAGGACAGGGGCTGCTGGTTTTCCACACTGGCATTGCCTGATGCACTGGTAGACAAGGGCGGGAAGAAGGAAGGGGTGAGCTCTTGGCGAACGGAGGGGATAAGTGCTTGGCAGACCTTCCTGGTAGTATTCAGAGGGGCATGAGGAATGTCCCTCATCCTGTCAGAGCCAGTTTGAGGAGATCAGAATATGGTGGCCACGTGGAAGGTGTTGGGGGGAAGGAGAGGGAGGGAGGGATGGATGGGTGAGGCCCGGCTGTCCCTTGGGTCCAGGATCTGGAGGCAGAGAAGGAGGGTCAGGCTCCCCACATGCCCTTGTCCCCTGGCCGCAAGCCCCACAGGCTGCCCCAGTCCACCCCATACCGCCCCTCCTGGCCCACAGCCCCTGGGCTGGGCCTCAGGCCCACACTTCCCGGAGGAGTTGAGAACGCGGCCTGGGATGGATCCAGAGCCCCACAAGTAGGTCAAATGTTGCTGTGCAGCAGGTCCTGGGGACCCCTTCCAGGTGTGGGCAGGCCCATGGCCCCACCAGGGCCCACACGTGTGTCCACACAGACGTGAACCCACAACCACACTCTGGATGCCCATAAATACAGCCACGGCACAAAGCTGCTAGTTCCTGCCCAACTACACAGACTGGGGGACTGAGGCCCCAAAAAGAGCAGGAGCTGCCCTGCAAGTCTGGCTGAAGAGGGCACGAGGCAGCCACGAGGACCCAGAGGAGAGGAATTTCTGCACCATCCACTCCCCTAGAGTCTTAGGTGAAAGTCTGACTTAGTCTGAGGACTTCCCAGCAGGGCTGCTCTGCCACCAACAGGATGTGGCCTGCTTCCCGGAGGCACAGCCCAGACCTTGAAAGACGGGAAGGAGTGGCAAGGAGGGAGGCAGAAGACTCCTTATAATCCTGTAACCCAGGCGGGTCCTGGCTGTTGGCCTCAGTTTCCCCATCTATACAATGGCCACAGACGCAGGGGCAAGGTGGTCCTGGGTTCAGAGGACAGTCACTGCCCCTGAGTGCCAGCCTGTCCTCACCACCCCCACACCACACACAGACAACTCTGTCCTCGGCAGGCCAAATGCAGCCCTCAGGCCCCTCCCTCTGCCCACTGTGCTGACGGGGACCAGATGCTCCAACCTTGTGGTTCTGGGGGTGGGGTGGCAGGACCCAGCGGGCTGGCAGGCAAGCCCTGGGTTTGGCCCAGGGACCTATAATCAGCTCCTGCCCCTCTGATCCCGGCCCAGGACTGACGCTTGGGGCTGTGGTGTCCTGGCCGGCTGTGGCCATGGCCACTATATTTGGGAGCCCAATTGAGCATGAGGGAGGGGTGGGTAGGCAAGAGTATCCAGGG